GTAGTATAATTGATTTTGACGACGTTTTGCTAATACTTTTGAATGTGCTGATTTAACCATTTCTTTTAAACACTATTTAGTCAAACATCAACCGTTTACTATACAACGAATATCCAAGATTTTCAATTATATACAAAATAGGTATGCTCTTGGCAAATGTGCTCTCGTCAGATATGCTCTTGGCAAATATGCTATCGTTAGATTTTTTTTTATTAATATATTGTAATATATTTGATATATATTGACTCCTTTAATTTGTTAGTTTTCACACAATTGTGTTAATATGAAAACGTATAAAATACAGTAATTTTTCTTAATCAAAAAAATCTTAGTCTGTGTTTTGATTCGATTCTATATAAGCCATGCTCAGATTTTCTTCAGTGTTCGAGACTCTATCATGGATGAATTCAAATCATCTAAGATAATAATTAATTAAAGTATATATGCACACAAGATCTAAGATATGAATGGTCTTTTAAGACTGAATCATGCATAACCATATAAGGAAATTAACAGCTGTTAATTATAATTTTTGGCATTATTTATATCTCCTGAACGGTATCGAATTTCGAAAAACGGATTTCAGATGTGCACTCGTCACGTTCTCAGGATCTCGACGAATTTTTTTTCGACCGAAAATGATAATCGGGAGCTGAGAACGAGTGGCTGACTCGAATCGTGACTCGTGTGTTGAGAAGAAGAAGAAGAAGAAGAAGAAGAAGAAGAAGAAGAAGAAGAAGAATTTGCCATGGCAACTAAGCGAGTGAAAAGCAATAAGTCGGCTCTGCCTGCACTTCGTGCAGTCAGCCGACTTAATAAAAGCAATAAGCTGCCCTTCAAGTTTACCGTGGAAAGCTGATGGTGTAACAGTTAAAGATGATGCAACTGTATTACGTGAAAAATTATCTCGACGTGTTTTTTGTTCTTTTAAATTCTAAAAGAAAGAAACAACTGATTTTAATTGTCTGCTAATTCTTATTTTAATAAAGATGATTTTTGTGAAAATAGATCAAGAAATGCAAAAAAATAAATATGAAGGCTAAAAGCATTTATCCGTTGCTCGAAAATAATCATAGAAATCAATAGTTTTTTGTAATATCACTAAAGACGATTTCTATTGAGAATTAGAATCCGTCGGATTGGTCATCGATCTGAATCTGGTCCGGTCCAAGTTTGAAAATTTTAGATTCGACAAGTTTCACTACAGATATACGTATTAGTGTTTCTGTTGGAATTTAAATGTCATTTTATTCTGAACAGGTTACTTTTAAAGATTACAATAAATGGAATCAAGAATAAACCGGTTTTATCTAGATATAAACAATAAGGATTGTCAAACATAGAAATGCAACAGTGAAATTAACAATAAAAATAACTACTCTAAGCATAAAGGTATCTGAATAATGGAACAAGTCGGTTATCATTGTAGGTTTGTTTTCTTCGTGCATTCTCGCTTAAAAGTGGATTTTTAATTCAAGCATCATTTAAAAAGATAAAGCAAAGCAGACAGAGTCTCAAAATTGAATAGTTATGATCCGAAACTTTTTCTACGGAAGGCTAAACCTAGTTACATGACGAGTCCCTATCAAATTTTATCAAACTAGGCTGAAATCTTTATTGCAGATATTTGAAAGTATTATCCAGTGACTAAATTAGTCTTTTTCATTATTAATCTTCATATCAGAATTTGTAGGGTTCTAAAAGCTAACACCGCAGGGTGGGTGGGTGTGAATGAAGGAGAAGAATAACAGCCAAAGCCACACCCTTTCACTTTTATACACTACATGATCCTTCTTTGTTCTCAGACATGTCATGCATAAATTCTGAATTTTTTTTCGTAAATATCATGAATGATTTCGTATTATTTTTCATGCATCAAGAGTCGCTTCTTTCGTTTTCGTAGAAATCGTCATTTCGACAAAATCCTACCATTAGAAAATGAATATAACAGCATGTGTTGACATTCATTTTTGTACAGTTGAAGTATAAATCAAGCAATACTCGGCGTCAAACTTTGGATTTATTGAGTCTAATAAATATTCATACAAATTAAGATATTGATTCGGTCGAATGATGAAGTAATTGATCAAAAATGAAAATAAATCAGGATTAACACAACAAACACATGAATATTCAATAGATTAATACCAGATATTGTTTGTACATTATCGGCAAATAGTCCAAGCGAAGTTAATGTGTATCATTATCGGATGACCGATATCCGATTAATATTAATCATCAGCGTTAGAAGCTGATTGTAATCAGAATAAGAAATAAATAGTTGAAAATAACAGTGACAGTATTTTGTTCACTGTTATCCTCACCCGCATTGTCAATCGAACGCAAAACATCGTTTCTCATCAGGAAAGTATTTACGAGAATGAAGAAATAATCGAATTGTGTTGACTGCTGCAGAAGAGTTTCATTGCATGAATTTTTCAGCTTCTAACCACGATTTCGAAAGATTGATAACAATATCAGATAACTGTTTTTTTTATTGACATGTACAAATCTGTTTGATCCAGTGACACCGTGATATCAACAACCGAGGAGATGCGCGGCAAGTCAAAAATCAGTATTGGCATGTGTGCCAACGATGAAACAACTTAAATGATAATGAGTAGTTTCATCTGTTTTTTTTCCCTATCCTAAGCTCGCTTTCGTTTCGGATTCCTTTTCAATAGGAAAGATTGCGAGAAGAGAAAACGAACGGCATCGATGTCTATTAGTAAAATCATGTTCAATTCAATCAGTATTACTTAAGAGAAAATATTCCCATGTGCCCAATCGTGTTTTCATCGAGACAATATTCAGATAACACATTAAGATACTTCTGTTATTTGAACCTTTGCTATCGAGATATCGAATTTTTACAGAATTATTAACAGCAAGCCTTGATCGTTCTAAGCTGAAAATAAGCCCAAATTTCGATTTTTGACTTAAAACTTTGTGCAAATAAAGCTCTTCATGATACGAATTCGTTGTGGAAGCTTCATACACTTCACAGGGATATGACAATTTTCATCACATCAATAAAGCTAGACCTGGTTGCATTAATAAAGTGGTTGATTTCAACAGGTTGTATGAAGAGAGGAAGTGTTTTTACGCTTACATAAATACGCTTGAATGAAATCTATCATTAAATAATTTGAAAAATATGTAAAAAATCAACCGGTTTTGTCTTGACAGTATGACTATAGATGTGTGGATGTAGAAGGTGGGCATTGCTAAGAATTTTCTCTTCACTCATCTATACCTAGATCGAAATGTACACCCACACATATCATTTTTGAGAAGGATGTGGATATGGCTGTTACTCTTCCCTTCACCGACACCCACTCCAATACTGACACTATCATTTAATCTAGATCATTTGATACACAAACATATTTGTGACTTTTTATTCATGCCTTTTCAGGAATCATTTAGTTTCTTCAAAATAGGAATAAATTCTCGAATCCTCTTAACACATCTTTACTAACAACCTTCATTGTAAGATGTGATTAATATCTACATTGTATTTTGCGTCGTATCATCTGCAGTGATGTTTTAAAGTCTTTACTGTATTTAGTCGAAGGCAATACAAATACCACGAATGTCAGAATAGAAGGAATAAAAGAAACGAAATAGCCGATGAGAAGTAGCCAAGGATAACGTACTGATTTCATACATCCACTAATAGATGGTTGTCGATTGAATGTAACATTTGGTTTTACATAATAGACAAGAATTGGATCAAGTGAGAAAATGAATTCTTTTGTTGAAAATTGATATCAACTACCATAAAAACAATCTTGACAACTACAGATTGATAATGTTGGACAAGTTGCATTGTTTTGAAAACATTGACCATCATTTTCACAATCATTATATTGTTGGCAATTATATATGATTGAATGATTAAATTCGAAACAATTAGCAAATCAATTTAGATCACATATACACATATAGATTTCATCATATAAACACATCATTTTTCGATGTCGACGACCTAACCACGGATAATATTTAGCACGACTAATAGAATTATATTGAAGAAAAGTTTCATTAACAAGCTCATGAATGGAAAAGCAATGTTGATTTGATTATACATGAGTTTGAATACTTTCGAATTGATTAAATATTTCTCGTAAAATAGTTAAATAATAATTTTGATTTTCTAATTCAATGAAAACAATGTGTAATGGTTGTGTACTGTAGACTGTAATTGTCTTCTGATCAAAACCAATCTTTTTTAATTTTGTCGTTCGTTGATATTGAGCACCTTTTATTGCCGACATGATATGTACGAGTACGGATCGTATATTCATTGACATGATTATAGATGTGTCTATACTTATATCGATACGATTATTCGAAATTTCACATCTTGATCCTGAATAATCTTCTGTACATAAACATGTGAATTTATTTAATGAAATTCTGTCATCACTAGGTATACATAATCCATTGTTGTGACAAGGATTGTTCAATGAACATACACAAATCAGTGGCGAATGACAGAATGAATCTGGTGAACAATCACATATGTAAAATTATTATTACATAATGAACCTGAATATTCTTTATCACATTGACAAAAGTACAATGATGGTTTATTGAAATAGGGTGTGCATCTGCCATGTTTTCCACATGATAAAGGACATGAATAGATTTGCTGTACTCTAGAAATGACAAAGGAATGTGCAAGTCGATTGACAGGTAGAAATTAAAATGGAATCGATAGATGCCAACTAATATAATATTCTAATGCTTTTTTTATCATAGACATCGATATGTATTGAATAGTTGCTTGAAAAGTTTTTTGGTCGATCAGGATAAAGTAAGTAAATATTAAATTTCGTACTACAATCGCGAGCAGGTGCATATGTAATCATTGTATGATAGGGCGCAATTTGTTCGTGTTCATCGATTAATATAATAATTATTTGAAAAATCATCAACATTGACTTACTACTTGGAAATGTTAATTTAAGAGTTAAACTTACACGTTGATTTTGTCATTGACATCGAAGGCCAAAATAAGTCGGCGGACAAAGACAAATAGTTGTTTCATTACTGGCTACAAGTATTGGAATTCTTCGATTACAATACCAATTTGGTAAAGGATAGATAATTGTACTAGCATTTATATCTTGATTCAATGTATCAATAGATCGATGAGAATTTGTATTTGTTGATATAGGCGGAAAAAATCCCAATCGATATGTTGTCAAATATAGGTCGAAACGACCATCTGAATATATTTTTTTGAAAAAGCAATATACGTATCATCAGTTGTCATCGATCTAACTCCCTCCAAATCAAATTTTAATAAATCATTATCTGAAAAACAAATATCATCTTCTGATAATAGTGTAAATGGTGAATGATTACAACAAAGAATAACTCTTGTAATACATTGAGTATTATTTCACCTAATATATCCAATATTATTAAAATTTGTTTCATTATTTGAAATATACATGACGAATAATATTTGGTTCATTACAATGATCAATATATTTATCAAATAGATGTATACTTTTTATACAAAAATCATTATATGAAGGGACGTAACGGATAGGTGTGGATTGATATTCATTTGATGAATACATTTTATGCGAGCAATTAAGCTCATCGGTACCATTTGGGCAATTCCAATTTCCATCACAATGAGTATAAGGATTATCGCATGGCCATAATTCACAAGAGGTATCATCAGTTTCATTTGTATCTATCATTTCTAGAAAACCATCACAAAACCGTGAGAATGTTGGTTGGCTCTTATAAGTTAATTCACTTATTGATAATTTATCTTCGAAATTAGAACATTCATATAATAAATTACTGATTGCAACTGGTGACAAGCATTTTTTATGATCTAATTCACATATGAAACGATATGAATCATTAAGTTGACAACTAGGATATAATTCATCTTCATTAAAATAACAATCTTGAAAATCATCAACGAGACGATGATATGAAATACATCTCATTGAACGTGAACAGTGAAAAAGAGATGAATGTGAACATGATTGTTCAGTACCAATTGCCAAACAACGTTTAGCACGATCTGTGAGAAAAAATGCCAAAATATATATAAATCGATTTTCTTTTCTAAAATCATGTCTACAATACGACAACAAGTCAGTTTAGTATTCATGTCGATATTAATTCCACAGAATAGTAAAGCTGAACATTGTTCTGCATGGAAACAAATCAAATCCGGTATAATACTTTGACTCCATTCAACCATCGATCGATTAGTTCGATAAACGAATTGAAAAAATCCATAAATAATCGATTGTTCAGGTACAGTAATCCATTCTGAAGAACAATCCATATCAAGTGATTTACAATTTTTATCATGAAAAAAATTTTCAAAAATATAAGTACAAAAGCTTTCAGTGTTAATCGAAAGCATTATCAAACAAAGAAGTATTTGTCGACAATTGATATTCGAAACATGATCAAGTGAAGTCAATGTAATATGACTAATTAACTTATTACGATAATTGAAACAATGATTGATAAAACTAGGTAACATCAAATTAAAAACATATTCACCATCACCACAGGAAAATGAATGATGAAATCGACAAGTACGCTCTTCGCATCGAAATATTGAAATTCCGATATATTCCAATCTAGGTGGTCGACCAAATGAATGCCTTTTCATCTCACTTTCATCACTACGATCCAGACAATCGATATTAGTCTTGTTATCATGAACAAACATTATTGGAATACGTTGTCCACCATAATGACATCGATATTCATTATTTTTACATTCGTTTAATTCTAGTAGCTCACACATTTGCTCGTCTTCTCCATTACTACAATGAATTTTTCCATCACAAATTTCACGTCAATCAAGACATGATGGCGACAAATCATAATAACACTTAGGTAGAAAACGATAACATGTTATACTGATGTTGTTTTGACAACGGAGACGACGATTGTAAAAAGTCGTTTGAACAATATCGGCAAACGAGGATGACGTCTCTAATTCAAACTTGTATTGACACATAGGAGCAAACCAGGGTGATGAACAATTGTAAATATTTTCAATTAAACTTTCATTATTTCTCATGTATTGTTCTGCCAAAGCAATTGTTGCTGACCAATCGAGTAATTGCGCACTGGTCACACCTTTTTTTCTCAATTCATCAAATGTGAACATATTTGTTACATTTTTGTCTGATATATTTGGTAATTCTACACCAATATCAGGTCGTATACAGTAAGGAATCAAATGATAGTTAAGAATGTTAGCCTTAGCATTGTCGCTGACATCATCGACTAAATATGCATAGAGACAATCGAATGAAGGAGACAAACGTTGACGATTATCAGAATAATATAGAGGATAACGAACATCAACCACAGCACACCATACAAGTAGCAATAACATACGCATAGTCTTCATACTTTATTGTATTTGTGAGAATGGTGTCTACTAATTGTCTCTAACAGCATTATATACAAATGTATTTCTACTGCACAGATGTATCAAACAGTAAAAAGATCATGATATTGTGCTTGTTTATTTTGGAGCATGAACAGTTGTGCTCCTAATTTCTAAATGCGGAATAAAAATCCATAAAGAAAATATACCTTCGCGAATATCGAAATTTCTGTTCCCCAAATTTTCCTTGCCAATCAAAAACACTGATAACAATGGTTCGGCAGAATGCAAATGCCTTGAAAAGAAGAAAAAGACATTGAAGTATTAAAACTAATAGGGTGTGGGAAACACGGAGATCCAAACTCACATCCACACCCTCATTGTCAAACATCCAAAGTTCTGTACTTCTGAAGAAAACAATTTCAGGCTCAGTACAACTAAAAACGTTTTCCTTGTTTTTCTACAAATTATTTTCATGTTCAATAAATTTCCTTGAGTTTCGAATAATTACTTCCATAATAACTTGAGAGTGTGGGTGTGTGGTGTAGGTGTGTGCATCAAAAGAGTATAAACACTCATATTCTCAAGTCGATTCAATGAATTATAATTGATATTTGCTCCTTATTAGCTGAACTCTGACAAAAGTTTCGAAAAGGATCTCTGACTATAAAGGGAATCGGTGACCTATATATTCACTGAATAACACGCCTTGGAATACAGATTTTCTTCGTGAATTGGTTTTGTCTATTTCTGTCTATGAACAAGATCTATCTGCACTAGATTATTTCTGGTTTGAGCTTTCATAATTGACAGAAAGTCGCTATATACCAAATTTTCATTCAATTATTCAACATGCATAGATATCGCTGCTTATCTATTGTAGATAACCTGTGATTTATGCCGAAACTTTTTGAAACAATTATATTTATCGTTCTTATCTTTTCGTAGTTTACTTAAAGAGCCGTTTTCTTTGATTGGACTCTCAACCACTCACATCTATTACGAAGAAAAACAACACAACAAAGCACACGGCTATGGTTTTGATGCTTTTCATTCATCTCTCCACCTTGAAAAAAGCTAATATTACTTTAACCATCTACACACACATAATCATATATATAAGAAGGCATACATCGTATAGCCAGAAGTCATTCCAACGCAAAACACCATCCAAAGAAGAAACGAAGACATCATGGCTCATAACATCGCTTCCTCATTACTGACACCATCTGTTGAATTAGTCTATCAAGTTCTAGATTATCTTTAACCACTGGATATTCTTCTTTCAGTTTGTGAGGTGTGCACAAATCTGAATACCATTACTAATGCCTATCATCTGTATCAGGTACATTTCAAAATTATTTTTCATTCATATTTTCACTATTTTGAAGATTTATTCCTTTTGAAGATCGAATTTTTGTTGCATCATCTTTTTATCGAATATTAACAGATAATTCTACCTTGAACAGAACAATTATGAGATAGTTGGAGTGGAATTTCCGTTTTTTGTTGAATATTATTGTCGTCTACAATACACATCAGCTAAGAAGGTCACACGTGGGTCAGGGTGAGAGTCGATGACAAGAAGTCAGGCTTGCTGTGGATTTCTGTCCATATACAATAAAGTTTCTAACTCCTTTTCATGTCTTTGATATAACCTTCTTCAAATCATAAGGTTGAGAAATTCTACGAGTAAGATCTTCTTCTGAAAAGCATTCTGAGCAGCTGAAGACGAAGCTAAAAAACAAAGTAATGCAATTAGACCCAAACATCTATAATTAAAATTTACTACAACTTATCTGTGGCTGCCATTGTCTTTGGCAACAGGAGTATAAATCCTGTGAAGGGTGCTCATGTGTTTTTGTGTGATTTTCACGTAAGGCGTGATACTTTTCCTTCTCCAATATCTACTTTCAAAGCGACACCTACATAGGACAACGAACAAATAGAATGATGGAATGCAACCCATCAGACGATGTCGAGCTAACTTTCTCTAAAATTCCCAATAATTGCACATTTACCTAGCAATAGATCTGCCATTTACCGATGAACTCTTCTTCACCATAACTACTAGCAAGAAAGACAACTGCAGCACATCAATGAACACATTCCATATTCTCAAAAACCTTTTGACAGATCGATAGCAATACATTGAAAACATTGACTTCTCTGAGTTTCCTCCACGAAAACCATACAGAAAAAGATATGGCTAACCAGATTATCGCCCGTCAAATTACTCTCACAAATATAAAAACGCTGTGAAACATAACGGAAACAACACTAACTCATTATATTTCAAACAACCTCCCAACAGTTAAGTAAATATAAAAGGCTTTTTTCCTAACAAAGCTCTTTCTTTGTCCGCAAGACTCAAATTCAACATTTCAAAAAACTAATGACAGATTTGAATTCCTCGACCTCGATTACCTTCGATCAAACTTTATAAAACATAATTTCTTTGGTTAAAAAAGTGCTTTTTTACCAAAAATATTGAGTGAAAAGTTTAAAAAAACTAATAGCAAATTTAAATTCCTCGACCCCGAAAGCCTTTGGTCAACCTTTATCCTAGGTGTAAAGAATTATCTCAGGTGTTGTATGCCGTAATGAATGAATGAACGAACATAGCTCATTCAGCGGATGACCCTCCTTTCAGTAGAGGGAACAACATCGGTATTGATGGGTCGCAGTTCCTCATTGAAGCATTAAAGTTCAACAGAGTGAGATAAAATTTTCATCAGGATTATATCCATCTACAGTATTCTGGTGGCACCACAGACACTCACAAATATCAGCCTTAGACAAAACGGCATCAAAGACATAGAAGCCCAGTGTCTAGCTGAAGCATTGTAGATCAATCAAGTATCGCACGATCGTTACCGATTTCATCCATATCTACATCTTCATCGTTTTCATCGAACAATAAACGCTCACTACAATCGTTCTCCGGCAAAACAGCATTGAAAATGAAGGAGCCCAGTGTCTGGCTGAAGTATTACAGATAAATCGAGTAAGACACGATCGTCACGATTTCGTTTACTTCTATCGCATTCCCATAACACAATAGACACTGGTAACAATCAAGCTTAACGTCTGTGGGATCGGCGATGAAGAAGAATCCTCATCAGTTTAATTCATATCTACATGATTATTATAACACAACAGATACTCGAAATAATCGATCTTGGATGTAACAAGATCGATAAAAAAGGGAGCTCAATTTATTGGTGCAACATTCCCTAGTCTCAATCCTGTTTATTTCTTGAGAAATCATGTCAACTTTTTCTCAGAATATTGGCTCAATTACTGATGGATGATTCCTGTTCAGAATTTCTTCAGGTTCCTACTCAGATTCTTTTTTAAGTCATGTAGGCAGAATCCTGCCAGGATTCAAGCATTGTCCTGCTTAGAATCCTTACAGGAATAATAGAGAAAATTCTCTTCAGATTTTTTCAACTTTTAGACAGGATCTGATATGGATTCTGCTACAAGGATTGAGTTAACTATTGTCACTCAAACCAAGTAAGATGAAAACTAAGACACCAACAGGTCATGGGTCCATCGGTTGCTGCTCCTTGTACTTATTATAAGATGAATCCGCTTTCACACTCACAACTACATCTTGTTTCCTAAATGCTTTTCGATTCAAAAACAATGGTGATCTGTTCAAGATACTGATGGAATCCTGCCAAGGTCTTGAAATTCCGTGGTTACACACTTTTTTCGAGATTTAGTCGTTTCCTCAGAAAAAAAGAGCAAGCCATGGAAGGATTCTGCCTAGAGCCGTTAAGGATCTGGCACAAAAACATCAAAGATTTTTCCTAGGATTGTCTAAAAGTTTTTTAAATCCCACGTTAACTCACAATGAAGAGATTAGTTTTCTGAGATTTCTGATAAAACTCCGTTTTCGGTTGATGTTTTTGTTCAATTCATGAAAACTCTCGTAATTCAGTCCAAAAACGTTAATTTTTTGACAAAGTTTTATTTAGTATTGAAGTTTATAATCTCAGCTATACAATTATCATGCTCTGAAATTGCATCATATCTTATGTTGATCTCTTCCAAAGCAGAACGGAAACTATCGCCGTTTGTCGATACTTTGAAAAAAATTTGATTTTGCACCACCAGTTTTATTTAGACGGAGCTTTTTCCTGGAGCTTTAGAAAGCACACACTTCAGAGTACTAAAAAATCGCCAAACTGAGACACTAGACTAAGTTACAGTAATCGACAATGCCTAAGCTAGTTTAGTCTATCTATCTTTAAAAGTTAACACTTTTGAACGTCTTTACTTCTTCTTTTATAAATTCGTCATGTTTTGTCTTAGAAAAAGCGTTTACACACCATTTTGTAGAGAATCGAATGAAAACTCTTTAAAGGAAAATTTGAACTGATCGGATGAAAACTGAAGGAGTTATTACAGAAATAAAAAATACTTATTTAATTTGGCCTGCTTCTTAACTATCTTTACCTTCGTATGCGATCGTAAATTTGTAATATTAGAGAAAGAAGAAATGAATGAGTGGAAAAGAGTAAAGATGGATTAAGTTATGCAAAAACATTTTAATAAATATTACGCACAATTTTGCTGATGACATGTTCTTCTGTTTCCGATCGTGTTCAGCCGAGATCTGTTGTATTTTGATCTGTTGCGCACAATGGATAATTAATGAGCTGTTTTGCGTTTGCTAAAAAATCTTATATTGCCGCTACTCACAACTCATAAGATGTTGCATACTTATAAGAGTTGTGATATTGCCTACTTTATTACTGTTGTTGCTGCTGTTGGTAATTCCTCTCAGAAGTTAACCCAGGTTAATGATGCCCGACCATAAACGACCGTATCCAGTAAAATACGACGGAAAATGGCAGCCGTTTACTGTGGTGGTTTACAGCGATCGTAAACGATGCTTTGTGGTGTATTACGTCCATCCCAAACGACCAATGTAAACGCTGATCGTTTACAGCTATCGTGAAAATACGACGACTGTTGAACATAGCCGTAATTCGGCGTATACGTCATCT